GTTAGGTTAGGTTAGGTTATTTTAGGTTAGGTTAGGTTATTTTAGGTTAGGTTACGTTAGGTTATTTTAGGTTAGGTTAGGTTAGAAATCACATATTAATGGGGACCGATCACTGACATTATTCAGTACTTCATTCAATACCAAGTTACCACAGTGATTCATACAACATCGTTCTTGAAAGCAGTTATTACAAGAACGACTTCAGTACCGCATCACTTACCACTGTTGAAGGACACTGTTGAACATATTCGTCACACCTCGCCTTCAACACTTATCGCTCTCTCTCTCTCTCTCTCTCTCTCTCTCTCTCTCTCTCTCTCTCTCTCTCTCTCTCTCTACATCCGTCTATCTATCTATATATCTAGCCATCATTCATCCATTTCCTGTTTAATTATTCATCCATCCATCCGTCCCTTCAGACCTCTCTCTCTCTCTCTACTCTCTCTCCTCCTCTCCTCCTCCTCCTCTCTCTCTCTCTCTCTCTCTCTCTCTCTCTCTCTCTCTCTCTTTAAGGTCAATCTCAGCACTATTTCCACAATGTCATATTATTTTTCTCTCTTGGTGATCACACTTGGGTGGATGTGAATTGTGGGTGAGGTGTGGTAGTGTGGGTGGTGTGTGAGGCTAGTGTGGGTGGTGTGGTGAGTGTGGGTGGTGTGGTGTGGTGTGGTAGTGTGGGTGAGGGTGCGCTGGTAGGTGTGGGTGGTGTGTGGTGTGGTGTGGTAGTGTGGGTGGTGTGGTAGTGTGGGTGGTGTGGTGTGGTAGTGGGTGGTGTGAGGCTAGTGTGGGTGGTGTGTGGTGTGGTATGTGGTGTGGGTGGTGTGTGTAGTGTGGGTGGTGTGGTAGTGTGGGTGTGGTGTGTGGTATTAGTGTGGGTGGTGGGGTGTGGTGTGTGGTAGTGTGGGTGGTGTGTGGTAGTGTGGGTGGTGTGGTGTGGTGTGGTAGTGTGGGTGGTGTGGTGTGTGGTATGGTAGTGTGGGTGGTGTGGTGACTGGGTGGTGTGGTGTGGTGTGGTAGTGTGGGTGGTGGGTGGTGTGGGTGGTGTGGTGTGGTAGTGTGGGTGGTGTGGTAGTGTGGGTGGGCGAGTGCTGGTGTGGGTGAGTACGGTGAGATGAAGGGTGGGTGGGAATGGGCAGGGTGGGTAAGTTAGGAATATAGGAGTGGGTAGGTGTGAACTGGGTGGGGGGAGATGTTATGGGTGGGTGTGAGGCAAATGGGTGTTGGCTGAGGGGGATGAACTTGGAAGATTAGGGATGGATGAGTGGATGAATGGTTGGATGGATGGATGGATGGATGGATGAATGGCTGGATGGCTGGATGGATGGATGGATGGATGGATAGATAGCTGGATGGCTGGATGGATGACTGGATAGATGGCTGGATGGATGGATGGATGGATGGATGGATGAATGGATGGCTAGATGAAATTTGACTGAGGTGGGGAGGTAAACGAATAGGACTTAACTGAGGTGGGTAGATGAAGTGGATAGATGGATTGGGTGGATTGGGTTGGGAGGGATTAAGACGGATAGGGGACGACTTAGGATAAATGAAGAAAAATAGAGATGATTAGAGCCAGGATACAGGTGAGTCATTATGAAACAGACAGGTGAGTGGGGAGGAAGAGTACGTGGGAGTGTGGGAGGGATTTTGACAGGTGGGCACATTAGGGTGTGGGTAGAAAGTGGGTATGTGGGCAGGAGAGGGTGGTAGGTGGATAGGTGGGCAGGAGAGGGTGGTAGGTGCGTGGGCAGGAATGGGTGATAGGCGGAAGTGAGGGGCGAGGTTGTTTGTCAGCTGGGCATGTTGAAAGTGTGGGTAGCAGGGGTGGGGAGCGTGTTGGGGTGTGGGTGAATGGTAGGTAAATGGGTTGGGATGCAGGTGGGGTGTGGGGATGCAGGTGGGGGTGTGGGGTGCAGGTGGGCGTGTGGGCGGAGGCTCCACCGTGAGACACTCCGCTCCTCCTGGGCGCGTGCCGGAAGCTCCCACCGGAAGTGTTCGTATTGTGTACGATTGTGTGCGCGTGTGCGTGTGTGTGTGTATGTGTGCACCTGCTACCGTATGTGCACCTGCCCCGTGTATGTACGCATTCACTGACCTGCATGTATACACGCCCCAAAACAGCGTAAAGTGGGAGACACAAGTTATTTCGTTAATCTTATCACTGTTACCAAGACCTCACCTCACAAACAATGCGCCAGTGTTACCATAACGGGGTTGACATCGCAAGGTGCTGGTGGACGTCATCAGATGCGCTGATAAGCCGTACTTTTGCCTCCGTCTTTCCTGCGCCTCTCCCGGAACTACCATTAGTATACCTGCGTCATTCTCACTCATCTGAAGCTACGCAGTAACCTTGACACTCTAACGTACTTAGACGCATAGACGAGGCTCTAACGTACTTAAAATTTTTTCAAACAACGCACTGACGCACTTAGACATACTGAAACGTCGCTCTGACGCACTTAGACATACTTAAACGACACTCTGACGAACTTAGACATACTTAAACGACGCTCTGACGTACTTACAGTAGACACAGACCCTGACGTACTCAAACACTCTTAAACGACACTGTGACGTGCATAGGTAACCCTGTATAAAACCATGATGTACTCAGGCACGACTATACAGGGCTTAATATACTGTGGCATTCCAATGTGACGCTGTAATATCCTTAGGCACTCCTGGACACCACTGACTCAGAATTCCCTGGAGGAGCACTAACTTATGGGTGGATTTAAATATAGACAGAAAGACGTGGAGGAAGAGAGAGAGAGAGAGAGAGAGAGAGAGAGAGAGAGAGAGAGAGAGAGAGAGGCACCTGTTACCTCTATGGTGCCTACCTCTCGCCCGGGATAGAATCAGATTGAGCCAGAGCTGATAAACACCTCTCTCTCTCTCTCTCTCTCTCTCTCTCTCTCTCTCTCTCTCTCTCTCTCTCTCTCTCTCTCCATGATCCCTATAGTGGAGGTAATGAGGTTTACGTTCTACCTCATCTCCTCCACTGTACCACCTTGACATATCCACAGCAGCTGTATTGACGTCACACCCTCCCTCAGTTATCTCCCTCCCTCTCTCTCTCCCTCCATTCTATTCTACTCCCTGCCGTTTCACAGGGTAGGTAATGACGTCATGTTCTCCCTCATCTCCCCTACTGTACCGCCGTGACATCTCCACAGTGGCGGTAATCAGCCTACACACTGCCGCAAGTAAACTGGACCAACGCCTCATTCACCCACCTCCTACCTATACATACAATAGCCGACCTTGCCCTTCCCCTCCAGCTGGCGTTCCCTAGGCCCAGAATCCCTCAATATTTATACTTTTAAATCTCTTCTCATAAACGGCGACAAATTACAGTCTCTCTGCAAATTTGACACCATTTTTTTTTTTTCTGTTTGTGTTATATGTTAAAGGAGAATATTGCTGTGGTCTTATGGTTCTTAGTAAAGGAAATGGTTATGTGAGAGTGAGAACTGAGACCAGGGTAGTGAGCTATGGCCTTGACGCCTCGTGTTTTGAGGAGTGACTTGGCAGAAGGCCTTATGTGGTCCCCAGTGGCTAGATGAATGAACGGGAGGGATAACACACACACACACACCACTCTTGAAGATGGTCGGCAGTGTGACTCTCTCTCCCCCCAGGGCCTCCTAGTGGTGGTATGGTCAGTAAGGTACTCTGGCTGGACACGTACAACTGATGGATCACAGGTAGGGTCTAAGTTCACCTGACAACAATAATTCATTTCATTAATCCAGGAACGACAAGAAGAGCTCAGGTACACACACAGGTCTAGTTATATATATACAAGTAGATATATAATTAGAGGTATAGGTAGAATTACAGGTGTAGGTATAATTACAGGTGTAGGTATGGATAGAAGTTATAGGTACAAGTGCAGATCCAGGAACATCTATATATATACAAGTAGAGTGATGGTGGTGGTGGTGGTGGTGGTGTGTGGTGGTGTGGTGGTGGTGTGTTGGTGGTGGTGGTGGTGTGGTGATTGTGGTGCTGGTGGTGGTGGTGTGTTGGTGGTGGTGGTGGTGTGGTGGTGTGTGGTGGGTGGTGGTGGTGGTGGTTGTGTTGGTGGTGAGATTGTGTTGGTGGGTGGTGGTGGTGTGTGTTGGTGGTGGTGGTGTGAGGTGGTGGGTGGTGGTGGTGGTGGTGGTGGTGGTGGTGGTGGTGGTGGTGGTGGTGATGTGTTGGTAATAGTGGTAGTGGTGGTAGTGGTTTTAATATTAATAGTTGAGATGACTAAAATAGTGTTGGTAGTAGTGGTAACAATGTGGTGATAATAGTAATGGTAATGATGGTGGTAATGGTATCGTAGTGTTTATGGTAGTGGTGGTGGTATGGTAGAGGTTAACAATACAATGATGGAAGAATATTTACCAACACACAGCGAGAACGTAACAATGGTTTGAAATTAGACAAATTTAGATTTAGGCGCGAGATAGGTAAACATTGGTTTGGTAACAGAGTAGTGGATGAATGGAACACGTTACCAAATATCATCATTAACTCGAATACGCTGGATAGCTTCAAACATAGGTTAGATGGATATATGAGCAATAGGGGTTGGGTGTAGATAGGACTGCCCAGTATGGACCAATAGGCCCGCTACAGTTTCCTCCAATCTTATGCTCTCATGTTCTTAACCACCACTACCACCACCATTATCACCACCACCATCACCACTATCATCACCATTATCACCACCACCACCACTATCATCACCATTATCACCACCACCACCACTATCATCACCATTATCACCACCACCACCACCACCACTATCACCACCACCACGACTAACACCAACCATACACTCACCCACTGTTATTGTGACCGTCATCATCATCAGGGGCGGCATTATTGTGGGCGGCAGCTATGGGCGGCTTGACCACCCCTACCGCCCGGACAATGGCCTGGGCTATAAACTTGTGGGCCGATACCATCATGGTGGTCCACGCACGGCTGCCAATGGCTCGCTAATGAAGTCTATACTGCCTGCTAAATATCCCGGACCTTTTACCACCCACGACCTCCATCCACGGCCTCCAAACATCTATCCACGGCCTACAGCCACCCACCTACGACCTACAGCCACCCATCCACGGCCTCCAAACATCTATCCACGGTCTACAGCCACCCACCTACGACCCTACAGCCACCCATCCACGGACGGCCTACAGCCATCCATCCACGGCCTCCAAACATCTATCGACCCTACAGCCACCCATCCACGGCCTCCAAACATATCCACGGCCTACAGCCACCCCACCCACGACCCCTCAGCCACCCATCCACGCCTCCAAACATCTATCCACGGCCTACAGCCACCCACCCACGACCTACAGCCACCCATCCACGGCCTCCAAACATCTATACCTACCCACAGCCACCCATCCACGGCCTCCAAACATCTATCCACGGCCTACAGCCACCCACCCACGGCCACTATGCACGACCCTACAGCCACCCATCCACGGCCTCCAAACATCTATCCATCCACAGCCACCCACCACATACAGCCACCCATCCACGGCCTCCAAACATCTATCCACACAACCCACCTCTCATCCACCCTGCCATCCACGGCCTCCAAACATCTATACAGCCACCCACCCTACAGCCACCCATCCACGGCCTCCAAACATCCCTCACAGGACCCTACAGGCCTGTTATCCACGGCCTACAGCCACCCACCTACGACCCTACAGCCATCCATCCATCCACAGCCGCTCAACACATATTCACTTGTCCTAAAATAATGGAGGAATGACAAGAAAGGGAGAGGGAGAGAGAGAGAGAGAGAGAGAGAGAGAGAGAGAGAGAGAGAGAGAGTGTGTGTGTTACCTCCCAAGATGGGGAAATTTGTAGACAGGGAAGTGATCTTATCTCTGGTAATTAGTAGAATATAAGTAACCAGTTCATAGGTGAGCGAATTATGGGTCTCATTAGGTTAGGTTAGGTTAGGTTAGGTTAGGTTAGAGAAGCATTATTAAAATTTTAGATGAATTGATAATTAATGAAAGGAATAAGTAAAATTAAACAAATCTATGAAGTCAAAAAATCCTTCAATAGTCATTATGAACACAGGTAACGCTTGACAGATGAGAGATTAATTAAGAAGATTAATGAGAATACGATAACAGGTACAGGTAAGTGAGAAGACCAGGTAGGAGATGAACGAAGCATATAGAGTACACAGTATCATCTAAGGGCGTCAAGTCAGCAGATAACAGAAGAATAATAACATAAACACTAGAGCCTTGTAGAGGTGACCTTGTTGTGTGTGTGTGTGTGTGTGTGTGTGTGTGTGTGTGTGTGTGTGTGTGTGTGTGTGTTGTCTTAGTTCTTTCCTATCGGTGTGTGTGTGTGTGTGTTGTCTTAGTTCTTTCCTATCGGTGACTACACTGGTATATTGCATTGTTTTTCTCTCTTATTTCCCCACATTACACACACAACATTCTTGACCACCGTAGGGACAAGACCTATTCAGGCGCTGCTCCTGCTGCCCCCCTTGGCCATTTCGGCCCATTCCCCAGGTCCCTCTCCCCGACCCATCCTCACCACCGGGATATCTACAAAATCAAAAGTGACACTTTGGTTTCGGAAGGAAGTGGAATCAGTGTTGAACAGTGATGAACAGTGTTTAGGCCAGTTAATTCAGCACTCGACAGTACCAGTGACAGCCGTGACCCACCAGTGAGATAAGCACCCCTGGAAACTGACCGCCATCTTCTGACCAGGAGGTGCTAATCAGTCCACCATGGGAACAACAGTGGGTCGGCTTTACACCTGACTACGAGATAACACAACACCACCTGGCAGAGAGAGCGAGGTACTGTGACACCACCCCACACCATTCGGTGTCTCCGTGACCACGAAGGTCCTTCATATCAACACCGGAGGACGAGTCACTATACCACGTGAACACCACACCACTCGGAGTCTCTATGATCCACGTGAGGTCCTTCATATCAACACCCGAGGTTGAGTTACTACACCAGGTGAACACCACACCACCTGGTGTCTCCATGACCAGCCCAGGCCCGGGCCATCAACTGTAAACTATAATTTGTATGTTCAATCATTGTTCCTTCTTCTTTCAGTAATGAAACCTTTTGTTAAACGACCCACCCACCCCATGTCTTTGTATGCAATAAGTCATTTTTGTCCAATGTATATTTTCAGCCTTCGGGTTGCAGAACTTTTTTAATAAACCGTTTATTATTATTAGTAGTAGTAGTAGTAACACACACACACACACACACACACACACATCCCTCAGTGACCTCCTACCAAGCACTGGAAAGGTTTGGCAGCCAACTAGTGCACCAGCCTCGTCATCGCCACCTCCTGCCACCGGCAGCCCCCCACCCACCTCGCGCAGTCCGCCACTACGACAAAATTCAGCCCATAAGAGCCCGCACCAATAGATATAAGAATAGCACCATCCCATCTATCGTTAAAATAATAAACAACTCCTGATTTATGTACTGTACAGCCCTGTAAATGTATACAACGCATATTATATCATTATGTCTAAATCAAATGTAAGTCTGTATATTTTCAGCCACCGGCTGCAACTCTATTAATAAACCGTTCATTATTATTATCATTATTATATTAATGTACACACACACACACACACATACACACACACACACACACACACACACACACACACACACACGCACACTGACACTCGATTATATGTTTGTTTTAATCCTGGTAGATGCAGCAGCCATGTTGCCATAATTCACCAGTAACACTTGTCTCTGTATACACAACTGTGATAACTGGACACGTGTACACCTAGAGGCAGGTGTTCGCAACAAAGGCTGAGGGAGGTGAGGGAGAGAGGGGGACAGGGGGGCAGTGGGGAGGAGGGGGAGGAGAGGAGGTGCAGAACGAGGATATACGAATACATGTTGTGAATTGTTAACTTTACTCGCACGAAAATAAAATGTTCTTCAATAATTCCTTAAAGTGTTCGATTATGAGAACAATGAACATGTTAAGTGTTCTACATACATGACTTAGTATTGACTCAGGAAACACGCGACCCCCACCACCACCGTTAGTAACACGTGTAGAGGAAGGTAGTGTGTGTGTGTGTGTGTGTCGCTCTGACAAGTAGCTTCATCAGGGTCAGATTCTTACCCGACAACACGGATCGAGACAGTGAACCAACCTCGACTCCCGGTACTAACATTATCTATCTATCTATCTATCTATCTATCTATCTATCTGCCTACCTGCCTGCCTGCCTATCTGCCTAAAACGGACTAATATACAAAATAATTCCTAACTAATATCATCACTTAACATCTACCGAACATAACAAAAAAAATTAATGAACAAACGATCATAATTTTATCTCGTCCTGTAAAATGTTCGGGAGACCAATTAGTATTTTTGTCCTGCGTCTGCCTGCCTGCCTCTGCCTGCTGCACTAACACTAAAGTACCCAGAGTTTTCTTCACTTATATACTGTCATACTTGTTTGTCGTGATATTTTTTGGTTTACACTTGCTAGGTTACGTTAGGTTCAGGTGAGGTTCCTCACATCACCACCATCATCATCATCATCATCATCATCACCACCATCATCCTCATCCTCATCATCATCATCATCATCATCATCATCATTATCATCATTATCATCATCATCCTCATCATCATCCTCATCATCATCATCATCACTACCATCATCATATCATCATCATCATCATCATCATCATCATCATTATCATCACCACCATCATCATCATCATCATCATATCATCATCATCATCATCATCATCATCATCATCATCATCATCATCACCATCAACATCATCATCCTCATCATCCTCCTCATCATCATCATCCTCATCGTCATCATATCATCATCATCATCCTCATCATCATCATCCTCCATCATCATCATCATCACCATCAACATCATCATCCGGGTACCCTCTCCTCATTAGGAAGACTGACTCACGGTGGCGCCACCTTAGAACTACACCTACCAGCCGAGTATTGTGCAAGGCAGTACATCCTCCCTCTCTCGACGTCCAATTGAGCACAGGCTGGCCCTTCGTGACTCCCTCCTGACCCCATGACCTGACCCCGCTGGCCTGACCTCTCCTGGCCGCTCACTGACACAGAGAAGGTATACGGGGACTGGTGGTAGATGCGGTACCGTTCTTGCCTCGCAAGCGAGATGTCACGGGTTCGATTCCCGGGCCGGTGGAAGCTGTTTGGACTTACTTCCTAGCCCCCATTAGTCCCTGTTCACCTCGCAGTACAGTAGGTACCTGGTGTAAGTCGAAAGTTGCGAATTCGTATTCAGGGAAAGTTGTTGGAGCTTCCAATAACTTGATGACATAAACCACTGACTCTTCAGGCTTCTACGCCCTTAACTCATGAGACATAAAGGCAAGCATGAACTTAGCATGCTTCCCTGTTGGGCGCTGTAAACGCTTCTGCGCTTCACCTTACACAAGGATGTAGGGGAGTGCCCAATAAATAAAAAAGAAAAGAAAAAAAAGAAGGTATACAGCATACTTGCTCTCTCGGTCATATCTTCCTTCAAGATAAGGCACTAGGTTAGGTTAGGTTAGGTTAGGTTAGGTTAGGTTAGGTTAGGATCATCATTGTTTTTAATAGCCACACGCTTAAAAGACCAGGGGATTAAGTTTGAAGAAGAAGAAGAAGAGAGAGAGAGAGAGAGAGACTCTTGATATAACAAGCTCTCTCTCTCTCTCTCTCTCTCTCTCTCTCTCTCTCTCTCTCTCTCTCTCTCGTCTCACACACACACACACATAACGCAGGGGTATGATAATTGTCACAGGTGTTCACGACTATCTGGACACCTGCATCGAAACTTCTAACTGGAACAGATATTTACATATAACATCACGATAATTAAACCACACCTGTTTACCCTCTTCCTTACAGATGTCAACTAAGTCTTACAGAGGTTTAAAACACACCTGTATTTCACCATCACACAGGTGTTTAATAAGTGGTCAGTTGGTTTAAGATACACCTGCACTTCCCTCGTCATATAGGTATTTATTTATATTATAAGGGTTTAATATATACCTTCAATTATACCTTTTATGTATTACAGGTGATTAAAAAGTTTTATAGGGGTTTAAAAAGACACCTGTATCCCCCTGTACACCTGTGACACATGTTTATACAGAATTATATTAGATTTTAGTTGGAGATACACTAAGATGTTAAATCCTTTCAATTGGTAACTATATTAACCAAGATCATTGTATATTCAAGGGATTATTCAACCACAATCATCCCTCAACCTCAACCCAAGACAACCACAATCAGCTCTCAACCTCAACCCAAGACAACCACAATCAGCTCTCAACCTCAACCCAAGACAACCACAATCAGCTCTCAACCTCATTCCTAGACAACCACAATCATCCCTCAATCCTAGACAACCACAATCATCACCCAACCTCATTCCTAGACAACCGCAATCAACTCTCAACCTCAATCCTAGAGGCTAGACAACCATAATCAGCTCTCAACCTCAACCCAAGACAACCACAATCATCCCTCAACCTCAATCCAAGACAACCACAAGCATCACTCAACCTCATTCCTAGACAACCACAATCATCCCTCAACCTCATTCCTAGACAACCACAATCATCCCTCAACCTCATTCGCTGAACAACCACAATCATCCCTCAACCTCAATCCCCTAGACAACCACAATCAACTCCTCAACCTCAATCCCTGAACAACCACAATCATCCCTCAACCTCTCAGTCTAAGACAACCACAATCATCCCCTCAACCTCAGTCCTGAACAGCCACCAACTCCTCCAACCTCAATCCTGAACAACCACAATCATCCTCAACCTCGTTTCTAGACAACCACAATCATCCTCAACCTCATTCTAGACAACCACAATCATCCCTCAACCTCATTCCTAGACAACCACAATCATCCCTCAACCTCATTCCTAGACAACCACAATCATCCCTCAACCTCATTCCTAGACAACCACAATCATCCCTCAACCTCAATCCTAGACAACCACAATCATCACTCAACCTCATTCCTAGACAACCACAAATCATCCCTGAGCAACCACAACCCTCATTCCTAGACAACCACAATCATCCCTCAACCTCATTCCTAGACAACCACAATCATCCTCAACCTCATTCCTAGACAACCACAATCATCCTCAACTCATTCCTAGACAACCACAATCATCCCTCAACCTCATTCCTAGACAACCACAATCATCCCTCAACCTCAATCCTAGACAACCACAATCATCACTCAACCTCATTCCTAGACAACCACAATCAACCTCTCTGATGTGGCCTTCCCTCATCCATTCACTTCCAATCACCATCCTGCTCTCTCTAATCACCCAATCACCATCCTGCTCTCTCTAATCACCCAATCACCATCCTGCTCTCTCTAATCACCCAATCACCATCCTGCTCTCTCTAATCACCCAATCACCATCCTGCTCTCTCTAATCTTCACCGATCACCATCACCATCAAATAATGCTAATTGCCCTCGTAAATTAGTCTCACCATACATTAGGTAATCACCACTACCCTCACCACTAACAGTCATCACCACTACCCTCACCAGTCATCACCACTACCTTCACCACTAACAATCATCACCACTACCTCACCACTAACAATCATCACCACGACCTTCACCACTAACAATCATCACCACTACCCTCACCACTAACAATCATCACCACTACCTTCACCACTAACAATCATCACCACAACCCTTACCGCTAACAGTCATCACCTACCCTCACCAGTAACAGTCATCACCACAACCCTCACCACTACACACCTCATCTTCACCACCACTACACTTCACCACTAACAATCGTACCACTACCCTCACCACTAACAGTCACACTAACAATTATCACCACTACCTTCACCACTAACAATCATGACCACAACCCATACCGCTAACAGTCATCACCACTACCTTCACCACTCATCACCACTACCATCACCACCATCACCACTACCCTCATCAGTAACAGTCATCACCACTACCTTCACCACTAACAATTATCACCACTACCTTCACCACTAACAATCATCACCACTACCTTCACCACTAACACCATCACCACTACCCTCACCAGTAACATCATCACCACTACCTTCACCACTAACAATCATCACCACTACCCTCACCACTAACAATCATCACCACTACCTTCACTCACCACTACCCTCACCACCAACAGTCATCACCACTAACAATTATCACCACCACCTCACCATAACAGTCATCACCACTAACAATTATCACCACTACCTTCACCACTAACAATCATCACCACTACTTCACCACTAACAGTCATCACCACTAACAATCATCACCACTACCCTTACCACTAACAGTCATCACCACAACAATCATCACTACCCTCACCACTAACAGTCATCACCACTAACAATCATCACCACTACCCTTACCACTAACAGTCATCACCACTAACTATTATCACCACTACCTTCACCCCTGACAGTCATCACCACTACCTTCCCCTCAACAGTCATCACCACTACCTTCACCACTAACAATCATCACCACTACCCTCACCACTAACAGTCATCACCACTAACAATTATCACCACTACCTTCACCACTAACAATCATCACCACAACCCTCACCATTAACAATCATCACCACTACCTTCACCACTAACAATCATCACCACTACCCTCACCATTAACAATCATCACCACAACCCTCACCATTAACAATCATCACCACTACCTTCACCACTAACAGTCATCACCACTACCCTCACCACTAACAATCACCACTACCTTCACCACTAACAATCATCACCACTACCCTCACCACTAACAATCATCACCACTACCTTCACCACTAACAATCATCACCACTACCTCACCACTAACAATCATCACCACAACCTTACCGCTAACAGTCATCACCACTACCTTCACCACTAACAATCATCACCACTACCCTCAACTAACAATCATCACCACTACCCTCACCACTAACAATCATCACCACTACCTTCACTCAATCATCACCACTAACAATCACCACTAACAATCATCACCACTACCCTCACACTAACAATCATCACCCACTTCACCACTAAACAATCATCACCACTACTTTCACCACTAACAATCTGATACCCCACCACTTCACTACCTTCACCACTAACAATCATCACCACTACCCTCACCACTAACAATCATCACCATTAACAATCATCACCACTACCTTCACCACTAACAATCATCACCACTACCTTCACCACTAACAGTCATCACCACTGCCCTCACCACTAACAATCACCACCACAAAGATCAAGATATGATTGTTATCACCACCAACATCAACTGATTAAGAGTTATTTTCAATGCTACTACTGTTGTTGGAGTGGAGGAGGGAGGAGAGAGAAGTGAGACAAGGAGTGATGGTGGGGAGAGGTGGAGGGGAGGGAAGTGGAAATGAAGAGAGTGTTGAGATAAGGAGTGGTGGTGGGAGGAAAATGAGAGTGGTGGAGGGAGAAGAATGATGGTGGAGAGTATGAATAGTGTTGGAGGAGGTGAGGAAGTCACATATAGCAGAGGAAGATTCAAGTCACTCAACATAGGTGTCGATGCAGTGAAGGCAGAGGTCTATTGTCCCTTTACCTGTGGTGGTGGTGAGGCGGTGGTGGTGGTAGTAGTGATGGTGGTGGTGATAGTAATAGTGGTGGTAGTGGTGTCGTAATATGGTGGTGGTTACTATTGGTGGTGGTGATAGTAATAGTGGTAGTAGTAGTGACTAAACTTGTAATACTAAAGATAAAATGATATGGAAAAAAAACGTAGATAAAACAAAGACAACATTGTAACAAGTGAAAAATTCGACCCACCAAAAATACACGACACAAAAAAAAATTTTATGAAAAGCGACACAGCCAATTGTGAAGAAATAAGGAAAAGCAAAAACACACAAGAAAATAAAAACAAGAACAGAAACAAGAAAAACAAACATAAACTCAAGTGGTAGTTCAGGGTAACGATAATGATAGTAGAGTAATTAACGTCAATATGACACTAACAGTACAGGAATAGAAGACTGAGAGAGTTACAATACCTGGATCTAATGAACGATATCACCTGTACAATTAACACTAATAATTACGGCTTTCCAGTCTTGTCAAAACAGGATTCTTGGTTGAAGAATCTACCACCATAACACAACCTTGGTTTAATGGCTCCTGTAACGCACTGTATCCTTGGTTTAATATGTCTTTATGGTGTACCGTATGGTTTAATATGAGGCTGGGTGAGGGAGGGAAGGTAGGGGTGAGGAGGAAGGTTGTGGTGAGGGAGGGGAGGCTGGGGTGAGGGAGGAAGGCTGGGGTGAGAAGGAAGGCTGGGGTGAGGAGGGAAGGTAGGGTTGAGGAGGGAAGGTAGGGTGAGGGGAGGAAGGTAGGGGTGAGGGAGGGAAGGTAGGGGTGACGGAGGAAGTTAGGGGGTGAGGGAGGAAGGCTGGGGTGAGGGAGGGAAGGCTGGGGTGAGGGAGGGAGAAGTTGAGGGAGGGAAGGTAGGGTGAGGGGAGGGCTGGGGTGAGGGAGGGAAGGCTGGGTGAGGGAGGGAAGGAGGGTTGAGGAGGGAAGGTAGGGGTGACGGAGGGAAGAGAGGAGGGGTGGAGGAGGGAAGTTAGGGGTGAGGAGGAAGGCTGGGGTGAGGGAGGGAAGGCTGGGGTGAGGGGGAAAGGGTTGAGGGAGGAAGAGGACGAGGGAAGGTAGGGTGACGGAGGAAGTTAGGGGTGAGGGAGGAAGGCTGGGGTGAGGGAGGGAAGGTAAGGGGAGGGGGAAGGCTGGGGTGACGGAGGAAGTTAGGGGTGAGGGAGGAAGGCTGGGGAGGAAGGTGGGGAGGGAGGGAGGAAGGAGGGGAGGGAAGGTAGGGGTGACGAGGGAAGGTAGGGGTGACGGAGGGAAGGGGGTGAGGGAGGGAAGGCTGGGGGTGAGGAGGGAAGGTAGGGGGTGAGGGGGGGGGAAGGCTGGGGTGAGGAGGGGTAGGGGGTGAGGGGGGAAGGGGTGAGGGGAGGAAGGTAGGGGTGACGGAGGGAAGGTAGGGGGGAAGGAGGGAAGGTAGGGGTGACAGAGGGAAGGTAGGGGTGAGGGAGGGAAGTTAGGGGTGAGGAGGAAGGCTGGGGTGAGGGAGGAAGTGTAGGGGTGAGGGGAAGCTGGGGTGAGGGAGGAAGGTAGTGGTGACGGAGGAAGGTAGGGTAAAGGAGGGAAGGTAGGGGAAGGGAGGGAAGGTAGGGGTGACGGAGGAAGGTAGGGGTGACGGAGGGAAGGTAGGGGTGGGAGGGAGGGAAGGTAGGGGTAAGGGAGGAAAGGGGTGAGGAGGGAAGTTGGGGTGAGGGAGGAAGGCTGGGGTGAGGAGGAAAGTAGGGGTGAGGGGGAAGGCTGGGGTGAGGGAGGAAGGTAGGTGAGGAGGGAATAGGGTGAGGAGGAAGGAAGGAGGGAAGGTAGGGGTGACGAGGGAAGGTAGGGGTGACGGAGGAAGGTAGGGGTGAGGGAGGGATAGGGGAAGGGAGGAAGTAGGGTGGGGAGGAAGGTAGGGGTGAGGAGGGAGGGAGGGAGGAGGGAGGGGGTGACGGAGGAGGCTGGTGAGGGAGGAAGGCTGGGGTGAGGGAGGTGGGGTGGGAGGGAGGAAGGTGGGTTGAGGGAGGAAGGTAGGGTGAGGAGGGAAGGTAGGGGGAGGGAGGGAGTAGGGGTGACGGAGGGAAGTTAGGGGTGAGGGAGAAGGCTGGGGTGAGGAGGGAAGGCTGGGGTGAGGAGGGAAGGTAGGGTTGAGGGAGGGTGGTGAGGAGGAAGGCTGGGGTGAGGAGGGAAGGCTGGGGTGAGGGAGGGAAGGTGGTTGAGGGAGGAAGGTAGGGGTGACGGAGGAAGTTAGGGGTGAGGGAGGGAAGGTAGGGGTGACGGAGGAAGTTAGGGTGAGGGAGGAAGGCTGGGTGAGGAGGGAAGGCTGGGGTGAGGGAGGGAAGGTAGGGGTGAGGGAGGAAGGTAGGGGTGAGGGAGGGAAGTTAGGGGTGAGGGAGGGAAGGTAGGGAGTGACGGAGGGAAGGTAGGGGTGAGGGAGGAAGGTAGGGGTGAGGGGAGGGAATGTAGGGGGTGA